TTCATGAAGGTGAACTTGTTGAATCTTTTGGAATACTTCTATGGGATCACTATGGTCTAGCTTTCGTTTTGTGATCTGCTGCTTTCTCCTTTTGCAATCTTTGTAGTAAGTTATTTTCTCATTTACAATCTTGCAAATTTGAAATTGAGGTATTGTTGAGATGCTTGTAGGTGGATTTCTTCCACGATCAAACTATGACACGTAGTATTGGTTTTTCATCCCTCTTTTTGGTTTGGGTGGATGATGAATGAGAACAAAATTTGCTAAGGAAAAAAATGGCAAGACATGATAAGTGCTCATCAGTTGTTGTGAATGATTTGTGTTATTAGTTAGTTATTATAGAGTTGTAGGGATTATAATATAAATGGAGTCCTAAAGTTTTGCAAATGTGATTTGGATTTTCGGTGTTCCAGATTAGTGGATAAGGGCTATGCAAATTTAAAATAGTGAAAGGATAAGGGTCGCCTAAACATGCATACCAACTCGAAATCATGAGAAGTTACATTACTAGTAGCTAAAAATTTGAAATGGTTTGATTGTAGCAAAATTGTGGAACTAAATATCTCTAAATTAAAATAAATATAAAATTTTAGAAAAAAGTGATTGGGATTGTGGAGGTGTGTGGAGCTTTGTAATAATAAACGCTCCTTGCAATACATATAGATAGATAGGTTTTGATTAGTTAGAGCGGAATAAATTCAGGAAGAAAACCCAATAAATCACAAAGACTTTTTTTGTTATTTTTATTAAGTTTTTAATTGGCATTCATTAACGCACTTAAATTATACCTAGCTTACTATGGGAATACATACAATCACAATTATTGCATCACTTGATTTAGATAATTTTCTAAATTAACTACATTTAAAAAAAAACACTCGAAACCTCTCTTAATGAGTGTTCATTAGGTACCCGTTAGCAAAACCACCTTTTTCTATATATTTTCAGTTAATTTCTGAAATGTCAATAAAATTTGTGCACTAGTGATACTTTTGAGTAAAATGTCATTAGGTTATGGCTAAATATTCATTTAATGGCATAGGCAGGAACCAGGGTTGGAACAAGATTTTACTCTTCCCCCCGAGTTTTGGGGGGGCGGGGGAGGGGGGGGGGTTAGTTACACGCAAAGTAATACAAAATATTGTACGTAAAGTACATTAAACTAACTTCAAAGCTTACAAGACAATAAGTGGCATTCAAATACTTTTATTGACAAGAGACAAAATCTGAAATAAAATACTAAATTATTATATCACTTGGAAGTTTTACAAATATTGACAAACAACTCCATAGCAACTTATGAATGATGCCCAAATTAAAAAAAAAAAATTGTCATAAGAAAGGCATGGGATTAAAATGCTAAACCTTGTATAGAAATAATACTAAAACAAAATTCAAATGTTGAATAAATAATAATAATAATAATAATAATAGTACCGCTATCTTCTTAACGGTAATTTTAATTATACAATAAATAATTAAGGTGTGTAGTACAATGAAATTATTTTTTTTGGGTCCAAGAATGTAATGGAATTACTTCTGATAACACTACAATGTGGGTTTGGGCGATTGGAGAAGAGTCAATATGGTTGGTTAATGTGTTAAATAACCTATACAGTTACATACATTGACTAATACTAGTTTTCCTAATTTGCCAAGTTAACTGGATATTTCCTTTATCTTTACTTTTCTACTTTATTCCATTTCCTTTTATCATTAGCTTTTTTTATAATTAGCTGTCATAATTGTATTGTACTTAATAAATAATACTTGAATATGGTAAGAATACTAATGTAAATTAGGTAAAGATAAAAAAAAAAAAAAAAAAAAAAAAAAAAAAAAAAACTAGATGGATAGAATCTTGGAGGCGGCCCCGGGGGATTGGAAGCTATGCCCATTTGCACCCCTGATTCCGTCCTTGAGAGGAACAGTGTCTCTCTGCCAACGTGTTATACAAGCTCGGTAGTGAATTTTTTTTTTTTTCAAAGAATGCCTCCATCTTGAAAAATACCAAAAAATAGGTGCAACTAATCCTAAAATTTTTTATTGTTACTTTTTATTTTTAATAAATTTAGTATGGCAGTGTGGGTAAAATGAGCACCAAATGAAAATGATAATTCACTCGAGTTTGCAAACATGTTTTCTTTTGACTACCTAGCCTGAAAAGCATTTTATCCCATTGAGCGTTTTTTGAGTCTAATTGAGCAAGTTGTACTGGTTTTCAGAACCGTGTTATCCCATGTACCTATGGCTAAACCTTACAGTTGGACTTGTAGTGTATCCATCCTAAAAATCAAGGATTAGACGGTATAAATGATCCAATCTCATTTAGCCTTGCCTATTGTAATAGGATTAGTAGTTTATCCTTCAAACTGGCTATACATCAATGCCTTAGATTGAAATTAAAAAATCCATCCGACCAAAGCTTTAAAGGCGTAGTGACACCTAAACCGCAAAAGAAAGAGGACCGATTTAATCTTGTCAATTGCTCAATTGTTATGGCAATATGTATGCAGCGGTAGCTATAGTTAAACTAATAAGGACCAACTTAACACTGACTAGGTAAAGAAATTAGAAATTACCAAATGAGAAGTTGTACATAACCTTAAACGGTTTGGAATTGGGAGTCTTGGTAAAAAATTTTGTTCCCATCCGAACCAACTACTTGACATCTATACTATATATAAAGTTTGAGGAAGGGGTTTGGGGTTAACATTGGGTTAACATTTATCGTCAATTTATGAACTTTTTTTTTGCCCTTATAAAAACTACTTTTATTTTAACTACCTATAATTACTCATGACTATTTTTACTTTTAACTATTTAAGTATATATTTTCAGCATAACTATCCCTAAACGTTATAACTGTCAATATAAAATTATTTTATGAAAAGCATTTAAAAAATTAAAGTTTACTTCACTAATAAAAATTTTATTTAAAATATATGACGATAAATATTTTATGTTTTCTGATTGCACACACATTGAGTGTGCATTGATCACTAGTGTTTAATAATTGATTTTTGATCAATGAAACGGCACCAAGTAAGCAAATAAGAACCTCGCATTATTATTTAAATTGTATTTAATATGGAATTTTGGGTTCAACAATTTTATTTGGAGTATTTTTGTTGATGAAAAAACTAATTACTAAACTTGTCTGATAAAATTTGGACGATGTATACATCCCACGGCCGGATTTGTCACCAACCAAACTAGGCGTCCAAAGGTGGTTTTGCTTAAGAGTGTATCTGTACTAAAAACGCTTCGACTAAAAAAGAAGACTTAGATTCCACGCAAAAGGATAAATTTCTAAATATTGCGATCTTTCTAGGCGTTTTACTACATTCCTGTTTTCAAGTTATGTTTTCAGGTTTTAATTTCTCATGTAATCTTGGATGATGATCCGGGCTTTGCTTGTTCAACTTGTGCTACCTTTTTAAGATTACTAAGTTCCCTTTTATTTGATTCCGGATGATTCTCGTTATCTGGATTATCCTTCTTTTATGCTATTCTTCTTGTTCTCATTGTAGTTAATAGTTCTTCTTGCATATTCAATAGCAGCCATTGATTAGCAATTCTGGAGCAGGCATATTCCGGCAATATGGTAGTATCTTGGATTGTATTGATGCTGAAGAGTGTAATTAATCATCAATATTCAGTCGAGATGATATGGAATCCAAGGATGAAAATTAAAAAGGATTATTCGGGTAAGTTAATTAGTTAAACTCTAGAATGTGTATTTACTTTTTTCTAGTTTCACGGCCTCACACGATGCACGAGGATGCCTGGATTTGTTGTGAGTTTCCTGGATTTTATTGTGAGGGTACACAAGATGGATGTTAAAACAATATAATTGGCTGACAAAAGCAGAGAAAAAATTGTACCATAATTGAGCTCACGTGGGTTAAATTTGCAGTTTATAACTCAATTTGCAAGTTTATTGCTGCTTATGTTGGGTAAACTTGCATTAGACATGCTAACAAGTAACATGAAGATGGGAAATGTCCATGACAAAGAAAACCATTTTGCACAGAATACTAAATAAGCGACAAACATGGAATACAAAGTCCTATATATACATCAGTGATAATGGTAGAGAACTGTAGGTAGTGATGTTGGTAAATCATCAGTTCCTGACCCTGTTCAAGGAGTAATGTTGACATCAATGAGGTTTGTAGCAAAGTGGAGGTGTCTGAAGCCTCCTTGAAGGACCAGCTCTGGATTACTTGTTAGCAGAATTTTCTGCACCTCTAAGTCACGTTCAATGGTGATTGATGACGTAGAATTCTGCGGGCAACTGACCAAAGGTTTACTGCTTGATATGGGCTACTGTGCTTTTCTTGCATTGCATTCATTCTTTGTTTCCTATTCACCGAGTGCATGCCTGATCTCTGTAACTCTTGTCATTGCAAACGTGAACATAAAAAATGATGATATTCATCATCATCTATGTATATGGTACTTGACCTCAACAGCTGCTTGAAATTCCATCTTCCTGCTTGTCTTAGCTCAAAGTTTCCATATCAGCATCAGGTCTGTTATTAGCATGTTCCAAGTCCTTTCACTTTGGGATCATCTATGTTACATCTGTTGGGAACATCAACTTCAATGTTACACAACTCATTATCAAACCGTTGAGCCTCATTGAAAGAAATGTCCTCTCGTTCAATGATTGGAGAACGTGCATTAAAACCTGTCACTGCAATGGTACACGAGCTTGAAGATGTTCGGGCATGATTAAGTTTGGAAGCAGCATGTTGCTCCCACCATTTCTCTTTCCCCTTAGCTTGTAACTCTTCCAAAGCCGCATTATTATTAGTATTAGTGTTAGTATTATTATTATTATTTTGTAAGTGAGAGATCGTGAGCCTAGGATCTCATACTTATAATCCCTCCCACTTCATCACCCAACCCATTTTTTCCCACTTCCAAAGTTGCATATTTTCACTAACGGCCCCGTTAGCTGAAGATAAACTTCCAAATAACAGGACTATATACCAGAAACATGGAATTATGCATTCAATCTTATGGCTAACTTGGGAAACAATAGAATTATAAACTTAAATCTTATGGTTATCCAACAAAATTATGGTCCGCAGCATCGCTTAAAATAATTATAGGCGTAGACAAGAATTTTCCGAGGATTCGAGCAAATTTTGACAACCTAGCGTCCAGTTAGAATGTGATCAATCTCAAAGTAGGGAATCCGGTAATGCTTGCACCATTCAATGTTGGGGCAGCTACTCATGTTACAGCACCTTCCCTTTAGATGAGAAGATACGCATCCTATTGGTAGGCTTCTGATTGATTGTTAGGAGGGTTACAACTCAAGCTTTTCAGATGTGCCAACTTAGAATCCTTCAACAGATGAAAGCCTCTTGAAAAGACCACGCTATGTTTCCTTAAAAGGGCTGACAAGCCTCGTTAGCAGCATTTGTCGTTTGAATGAAAACAAATTCTGTTACTGCAAGGCCACAACCATTTTGAAAATCATTAGGTCAGGTGCAATATAAGTACATTCCAGAAAATGCAGGGCCTTAAGTATTTCGAAAATCATTAGGTTATGTACAATATAAGTACACTCCAGAAAATGGAAGCTGCAGATCCAGGAAGTATATCCATGATTATGAGAGCAAGGACATACCTTGACTTAAAATCCAACCAGTAGCTTTCCCATGTACATTGGCTTAATCCATAGCTCTGTTCTTCACCTTGTAAACAATGGGAGAAAGCTTAACAATTTCATACAAGTTTAAAATAAACGGCAGTCTATGAAGATCTTTTTGACTCTACGAATTATGAAACTCAATCAAAAGCACAAAGAAATCAGCAGAAGTCATGAAAATCAGATAAATTTCCTTCAATTAGAATATTAAAAACACATAGAGAAGTGTACCTCAGTTACGAGAATCCCTGTAGCCAGCCAGAATCATGTTTCATGCAGGTTCTTGAAGAGCTCAAGGCCTCAAGAAAATCTTATCACTGTCAGCCTCGTGTATACTTCCAATGGACCAACCATTGTGACTGTAGACTCTCAAATTAGACTTAGAATTGCCTATGACCAGAGGAAGAAATGGCATCAGATTTGTAGCTGCACAATGAGAATAAACCAATGTAGAATGGATTACAGTCATGCTGAATTGTAACTTAGCCTTCTCTGTGTGCAATTAAAGTGCAAGAGTCTTCCTTTTGGAAGAGCCCAAATAGATTGCTCCAACTACAAAAGTTCTCTGCTTACTTTTTCTAGTGCAACTGCAGAGGATGACTTGAACTAGGCCAAGTAAAGACCTAAATCTTGGGAGTCATATCCTCATTGCATATTTTCAGATAATATAGCAAATGTTCCTCAAGAAATGCCATGCCTTTTCTGTGCGAAGAGTCTTGTGAGCAAAAAAAAGTGACCTACCATCAGGCCTCAGTCAACAGCATTTTGAATTTCATGTTACGAATTTTATGCAAGCCGTGCTGAGTCCAAAATGCAACAAATACAAGAAAGTACAGCACAAAAACAATCAGCAAAATATGGTTCTTAGAGAATAACAAGATAAATCAATACTAAGCTCTTAAAGGAATGCAATGGTAAATTTTTTCATTGAGAAGTTGGGAAAAAAAAAAGATAAGAGTGCAAGTAACTAGCTAAATTAAGGTCACCTATTTCCAAGTTATTAAAATTGACTTTAGTTCCTTAGGTGGAACCTAGCATCTGACTATTTTAGGTGCACCAAGTCTGCCACGCATCAGATCAAAATCAGGTAACTAACACTAGAAAACCTTTTGAACCTGCAATATGGGCATACTAAAACTTCATATCTTAGGTATCAAACTATCTAAACAATGTATCTGGACTCTAAATCTTGTTAAAATCCCTCTAAGATGATAAGACAGCCTGTTTCAATAGGAATAGTCCTTACATTCTTGAATTTTGTAAGAATTCACTAAATAATTGAAAACAATGAATTTGCGAGAGACTACAAATACTAATCTCGACAAATGATGTTTCTTGATAATTAAATAGCATATTCTTGCTATTTCTTCCCACGGAACAACTTAATGAAGATAATGGGTATCATTTATTTCATCAGGTATGCGTGGTGATTATATATGATGAAGTTACATATCGTCCTTATAGCTGATTTTCAAAATTGACCTTTTTATTTGTAGTAACAAGCAGGAATAAATTGAGGTGGTTCATTTTCTTCATTTTCATTTATTTATGCATATCTTTATTTATTTTTCTAATTTCAGCATTTCTAACTCACCAAGTATTTTTCATAACAGGTTCCCCTTACAAGAAATGGACACTCTCTTTCACCAGCAGACAGCCATCCACATGAACTGTACTTACCAACAAGGTTGATCCTTCCTCTCAGAACACTTCCTGGTTCAATGATATGAATCAAGATTTCCATGTATACCCCAGCGTTGAACTCTACCTCTCCTACATTAAATTTTTGACTTTCTCCATAATCCATTAACCTGATTCATTTCTAAAACTCACAATTAGCAATATCTCGTGCTAGGCTGGAGAACTTTATGAGATGAGCAAAGACAGAGTATTTACCATGGCATCTTTTCCATCAACCTTGTAATAGCCTTGAATTAGAGAATTTGCCCCCCATCAGATTGAGCCAACAGCTCATGCACATAACAGCTTTTTGTATACAAGAAAACTTTGAAGGATGTTTTCAGACCATTCATTAGATTTCTAGCACTCAAAAAACTGTATAAGAAAGCAGGGTTGCATCTGAAAATTTACAACATAAAAGAATGTAACCTCCCAAATAACATTGCTCAACAGACACATAATAATTCATTAGAGAATAAGAACTCCACAACTAAGATATTCTGGTTTGCTAACCAGAATATCAAGGACCAGCTACAAATCACTGCATACCCAGTGAAATACAAATAGCAAATTACCTACTATTATGCCAAGTAGCTCTAATTGGACAATATATCAAGCAACTGCTTCAAGGCACTGCTTGATTATTCAATCATCCGACAAGCTTCACTATTTCTTGATATTTGAGGCACTAATAACTGAAAGAGTTGCTAATTATGGTTCCATTCATGTCAGAAAATGATGGATTTGTTGCCCAAGAGGAAGACAAAAGGTGGTGCCTAATGGGGAAAGAGTCTGAAGATGGATTTTCAAAAGAAGAAGTATTCCTGATGCTTGTGAAGATGATTATGCAGAATTTCATATCATTCCTCCTTTAAATTGTATTTGAAGTTGGATAAAGTTTTCCTGAATCATAAATTTTTCATCAGAAAGAGGTGTGTTACCTCATGCATGAGAATCCCCATAGCCAACCCAAATACAAAAGTGGTGCCTTTGGGGGGTGGGGGTCTGAAGATGGGTTTACAAAAGAATAAGTATTCTTGATGCTTGTGAATGCGATTATGCAGAAATTCACATCATTACTCCTTTAAATTGTCCTTGAAAATCAGATAAATTTTTCCTGAATCATAAATTTTCATCAGAAAGAGGAGTACTACCTCATGCATGAGAATCCCCGCAGACAACCCAAATAATCTTCATTGTAGCATGTTGGAGAGCTCTAAGCCTCAAGAAAATCTATTACACCCACAACTTTCTATACTATACCATGTGTGTTTACACATGGTTCATCATGTACTCTAAAACTAAACTTGGCACTGCCTACAACATAGGAAAAGATTCCACTAGATCAGAAGCTGCACAATAATTGAATAGAGCAAAAGAAAAAGAATTACAGGAATGCTGAATTCTACCTAAACTGTCTCTGTATAAAGAAGGAGAAAGAGATCCTTTTGGGAGTGCCCTGATGGATCTATTTGAAGCTAGAAAGCTCTCGCCAAGCAAACAGCCCCTCATTTTTGCAGGTCAAAGAATGTGGAGGCATTTATCTGCATCACCATTTAACAGGAAACCATGATAGCTGAAGACTTTTGATCAAATATACCTGTTGCCGTGTAAATAAAAGATCATAAATTAAAAAAGAAATAAAAATAAAAGCAGACTCAAAAAAAATGATGATTATCAAATACTTTGTCAGACAATGCAAAATAGTGATCTACAACAATTAATCAAAAGCTCCAACAATTAACTGGTCAATGGCCTCGATCTAAGTTCAGAACAATTTAAGGACCAAAGTGTGTTATACTAATCACTTGAAATATTGACCTTTTTTAAGTTCATTACTTTAAAAGGCTAGCAATCTCCCAGTACTACTACGCTTTGCTCAAAAAAAATGACATTGGATCAAAAGTTTCAAAATCTCATAAGCATAGTGAGTTAAGCTTATTTTATGAAGTGCATTCTTTGACAGGGAAAAAAAGTTCAGTACTTTGAGGAAAAAGCTCTTGGTTTCAGCTAATAGGTGGAATTCCTCAGCTTAATGGAAAACTTTCCATTAATTGTATGACTTGAAAATATTATCACATTGCTCATTAACTACAAATCTTTTACTAGAAAGACACGCTTAAGTATCTATAATTGTATGACTCGCCAAGCTTCTCCATGATCATTTTCATGTAAAACAATCTTAAAGCTTAAATATTATCACTTTGCTACTTTCATCGACAGTTCAGTCATTACAATCTGACAACATGCATACCCTTGGCTGAGTGCATAGATGCTAAAAGAAATGAGAAACTGAAAACCTTTTGCCTTTGAGTACCGCTATTATTTCTCTCAGTCTAGTAATTTGTTTGAGCAAAAGGCAAGGCTTTACCAGTCTGAAACTTTCAGTACTGAGTATAAGTCCAGAACTGAATTAACAATTAACTAAAACAATCGACAATGCAATTAAAAACACAGATTGAGATAACAAGATCAATATAACATATGCACTAAGTGCTCAAGCAAAAGTAGAATTTGATAAAAAATGCATGGTGGATATGCTGAAAAACTAGCCTAATTCGCGGCTCTGAATTGGGAAAGTTTACACCACCCACTAAGAACTACAAAATTTTGAAATTTGCATTGGTAATAATGTGCAGCTTGTTACCTTTCTCATCATATAACATAAATTTTGATAGCAGAAAATTTTTTTGTGGATAACCATGTAAGATAGGACAATTATGTTTTGCGACCATATTGCAATAAATTCCAGCTATGGTCTCACAAAATTTATCTGGAAAACCAAGTTTCAAACATTGTTAATTCTTGAACATGTTGGAAGATACAAATATTGGAGGAAGTAAAAATGGTAGTAAACCACAACTGAATATCTGGAAAGTGGAAGCTCTGGGGAAAATGAAAATACATACATACATAAACGGAGAGGTTACCTGGAGAGCAGAAATTGAGGACCAAGAAAAGATGGTTTGCAACAGTTATTCAGCAAAAGTTAGGCTGCACCATTGAGATGCAATTAATAAACTTTATCAATACATTACTGCTATCATTCGATGGATAGAAGAAGCAAAAATTAATAGAAAAAAATGTGTTAGTAGCACAGAGGATTACCGAGTAGCTTCAATTAATAAACTTCAGATGGAGATTAGCCTCTGATTTGCAGCCCATCAATGTAAATTTCAGGAATTTGGGAGATCTTGGACCACTCAGAATTGTTTGGAAAAAGGGCAATGTTTGGAGAGAATGCAGTTGTCCGATTTCAAGAGGCATTAGATCACTTGATTCATCCTTAGAGAAAATATCAAAGTGCCTCAAATTCACCAAATGCTTGAAATTGTTTGGAAACTTTGTCAATGATTCACAATCACGAACTCTTGCAGGTTGTAAAGTTTACAAAGAGAGTCCAGCAAAGTTTCTATTGGAGTATTTGACGAATCGAGGTACCTTAAAGGAGACAACTTGCCAATTGATTTAGGAAGCTCCTTGGCATGTGATGAAGTTAAATTTAGCAATCGCAAGCAAGTCAAAAATGAGATCAAACCATCATTATTTGATTTGTTCTCCAATAAAAATAATGTTGTTGTGTAGCTGAAACTCTCATTCAATAGAAATGATATTTCTTCCCCACCACTTCTCCCCATTGCAAGATACCTAATGGGAAAAGTCTTCTCCGGGTAATCAACTCCTGCTGACTCTTTCAAACTTATTGTTCTAAATTTGGAAATGAATTGCACCATATCATGCACAAGATCATGCATTTTGCAATTCAAAACATTCCCATAATCATCTTTTTCTGCATCTTGAAACAAGTTACTATCCAGCAAAATCGTAAAATACATGTTACCAACTTCCTCCATACGCATATTGTTTCTTTGATTTGAATGAAGAAATCCTTCTGCCATCCAAAGTCGGATTAGTTGACTCCTTTCCATTTGAAAATCCTTGGAAAAAATTGTACAATATGCAAAACACTTTTTCAGAGATGGATATGGAAGGCGATCAAAGCTCAACTTCAAAATTTTAGCAACATCACTATTTTCATCTCCACCTAAACTTTGAAGCCCAATCTCTAAGTTCTGCCATTCATCTATTCCCTCGTTAAGCAGCATGCCACCAAGAACACATGCAGCCCATGGTAAGCCTCGGCATCTTTGCGCAATCTTGAACCCTATATCTTGCAGCTCATTCAACAGTTCCCAAGCTCCAAATGCAATTTCTCTGAGAATGAGCCAACATTTATCATCTAATAATTGTTTCAAGGCACAAGGAGGAGAAGAAATTCTTGTGATGTTTGCCACTGGTTGCTTACGAGTCAGAAGAATCCAACTCCCCATGGATGGGCTAGTACCTTTTAGTGCACCAAGAAACTCATTCCACAGTGTGGGCTTCTCATTCCACACACCATCTAGGACTAGTAGAAACTTTTTCCCATCCAATAACTTCTTAAGTTGCTTCAACTTAGCTTCCCTACCCTCAACTCCAGGCTTTTGGACTTGCCATGATTCTAGAATCAAATCGAAAAGCCTATTGACATTGAAATCATCTGACACACAAACCCATATTGTTTTATCAAAATGTATGTCAATTTTTAGTTCATTGAAAACTTTTCGAGCCAAGGTGGTCTTCCCTATCCCGCCCATTCCTACTATAGGAAGAACTGAGAGACTTTCATTGTTACTCGTGGCAGTCAATTGTGTTACTATTGCTGAGACATCATCACCTCTACCAATGAAACTCGTATCAATGGTAACAGAGTCAATCTCTCTGTTCTTCACAAATCCTTCTCCACTAGGAGGAGAAAGAGCAGGAACATCTCTAGCTCCAATCTGTGACTGGAGGCTAAAGTCGATTGCTTCTTCATTGATTCTATTCAAGTCCATATTGATTTGCTGAATTTTGTTGGCCATTAAATTGCAACGAAATGCAATTGGACTGGAGAGTGAGAAGAAGAAGAAGCATACCTTCTTGTTCATTTGGTTTTGGATCTCAACTCTGCGTCGAATCATTTCATAGTTGATGTCATCCAACAGATTACCAGCATCGAAAGCCACAGCTTCAAGCTTCTCCAACCAGCGCTTCATGAACTCTTGAGTCACCTGTTTTTCCTCTGCATCATGAAGGACAGGCTGGATCAAAGTCAACCCATACTTCAGTTTCTCCAAATCGTTCTTGAAGCCAACAAACAGGCCAATTTGTTCTGAAGCCGAGTTTATTGCCTTCTCCACTAGAACTTGTACAGAGGAACCAAGCAGTGCATCCGCCATCAGGTCTATATTTGAGAGCAAGAGAGAATTTGATATTTCTGAGATTGGGGAACCCAATTTGCAGCTTTTAAGGTGAGAAAGAGTTGAAAATATGTACAGTAGCTGAGACCAAAAGTCAACGAGTTGGTGGTGTCTTACTGACTTTTGTTTTTTAGCCATTTTATATTCGTACTCCAGGCTTTTGAATAGTTAAATGAGTGAACTAAAGAATTATTACGTTAGGCCTATTGATGATAGCCTACCAAAGGCAAATTGGAAATAAAATAAGGGTTAACTACATTCTCAAAATAATCTTTTATTTAGTATAAACATGTTCTAAGCTCAGGCAGTTCATCGTTGATTTTTCTTTTCTTTTCCTTCTTTCTTTCTTTCTTTCTTTTTTTAAATATAGTTAACATGTTTCAAATTCGAGACGTCTCACTGATGTTTTCTCCTTCTGTACCACTCAATCCATCCCCCTTTTTCCACCGATGGTTGCTATAGACTTTATAAATCTTATTAAGACAACATCTTTTTCTTGGCATAGGCTATATTACAGATGGAAGTTAATGATTGAACTAAAGAATTATTTAGTACATTTAGGTCTATACTTGATGGGCGGCAAATTGTAAACAAAACAAGGGTTAATTACTATTTTCAAAACAAAATGAGGGTAAATTACTATTTTCAAAACAATGTCATTTTCAACCATAAGAAATATCAATTTGTAACATTGAACTTTAGTCTCTAGCATTCAGTGGCGAAGCCAAGAATCACTTTCAATGGGATAAAGACAGCGTATAATATGTTTATAATTTTTCAGCTAAAAATAAAACATAACAATAATATTCACATAATAATTAAAAATAATATGACATACTAGAATATACTAATAAAACAATCATTTCCTTCAAAAAAAAATACGTGATTTTTATAATTACTTGAGACAGATTTTCAAAACTTTGTGTTTTATAACCTTTTTATTCACAACTCCACGAGAAAGTGAAAAAGGTGAAGGAGGTGAATAGAGAAGATAGAAAAAGAGTTGATGAAAGATAGATAATATTTGTCTTTTTTTTATGTGGTGAAAGGAGATCAGGAGACAAAATCAACACAACTAGCGAATTAAGATTTTGTTGCTTTTCTTTTTCAATACTTTAGTTCTTGTGACAGCATATCAGTTTCAAAGGGAAAAAACAAACACACACACACACACAAACATATACACACTGACGTGTGGCATGTTTATTCTAAACTAGTTTTCGTGGATGCCCAGATTTTTTCTTGAGGATGTACCAAAGCTGGCTAGATATTGGTCCATATCTGTTCGATATCAAACAATCAACAATTTACAAATCTTATGCTTCAACAACATATATATATATAAGCAATAAAATGTACAGCTAACATCAGGGAAAGAGAGACATAAACTATAAATTACATGGCAGGAATTCATACATACATAGTTTGTAGTAGAAAACAACCAAGCCATGAATTAAAACTGATAATGTAGTTTGAAAAGCCTATGAATCAGGATTGCTCTCAAACTTTCATTTATCTCAAATTCGAAATACATGTGATCTCCAAGTCTGCTAGAAAAATAATAACAGTCATCTATTAGAAACTGAAAGCCAAAAAAAAAAAAGCAAGAGAGTTTTTTATGTACAAAATCTATACAAAGAGGATCAGGGTCATGCTTGTTTTTTCCTTTCTTAAATTCTTCAAGATCCAACTGGTTGCTATTAGGCTTCACAAAAATCTTCTTTTCAGTTGGCTTCTCAGCTTTACAACCCTGTCGCTAGACTTCATTAGCAATATTGGCTCCTCCTTCCAAATTCATTGCATACATTTTTCAAATGGGATACAAATTATTGAACTGAAACTCAGGGAAACTCAAATACATAGAAATTAATCGATTGACTCCAAAGAAATCTTTTTTCTTCTTTTTGTACAAGTTATTGCAAAGAACTAAGTACATTGCGAAGACAACTGAAGTATATGATAAAAGAAAAATATAGTAAGCTTTATATGCATGCACTAATCAAATTGTACCTTCCTAATTCCTCATCTACCCTAGGGCCTAGGCCGTGTGAATTCATCTTTTTCTTTTGTGTGAGACATGTTTTTCAAAGACAATAATACTGATGTTTTTCTCATGCTCACTTATTTTTCATGACGTTATCAGTGAAGCACTTATAGTTGTACTATTCCTTTCTCGAGGTTTAACTTCTTTTACGTAATTTTCGTCTTTGCAGAAATTGCATGCTTTAAGTTGCCCGTAAATGCTAGAAGAATTCTTCAGCATATGATATTCTTAATAGACCTGGGGCTTATCTTAACCAATTGGAAATTCTAAGCAATCAGGTTGACCATTTATTGGACTATTTCAAAGACAGTGCAGATAATTCACTGAAAGGAAAGTTTGGTTATACCTCAGTAATAAGATAGGTGATTTTATACATTTACCAAGTCCTAACCTAAGCATTTGACCTTGACCATGTATAACTTTTTTTTTTTTTTTTTGTCGACACAGGGGTGTCCGGGTCAATCCTTACGGGGCCTGACCTTGACCATGTATAACTTGGTATGTCCATTAACATCTTTGTTTATGTAATTTGATAACTTAGACTAGACTTGGCAATTATGCCCAAAATCCAACAACCCACCCAACTCACCCACTAATTTGAGAGGTTGGGTTGGGTAAGTTGGATATTGGGTCAATTTTGGGTTGGATAATAAAAACCCACATATATTTTGGGTGGTTTGAGTATTTATGTTGGGCACTCATTACCCAACTTATGCTAATTGAATCAAGTGAATAGTCAACACAATCTTAAAAGGGTGAATAGTTACTCAAAAGCATCAACTATAGACTTTTTTTTATTATTTTTTGCTATAAACATCTTTTGTGATTATAACATAATTTGCCAAGCAAGTTAAATTTTTTTTACTTGGCCTATTTTTAATTCCTTGGTTACATACTTAATAGGGTATTACCCTAGATATGGAAAATGCCAGATGTGTTAGAATAATTGCCAGATTCATCGTGACTATGTGAGTTCGAATGTGACTTTTTTTCATTTATATTATCGTGATCAAAATGTGCAGTATGAAGAATTTGAACATTATTAAATTCGAAATTAATTTTGAGACGTTAATGTCAACTTACAACTACTCGTGTTCTCGGTGCTTAATAACTACCACATAACTCGTTCATGCTAAAAGATTTTTGTTTTTATAAACCGTATTCTCAATATGTAAAAACTACATAAATCCAAAATTACCATACTTTTTTTGTGAAAATTAGGAATGGCAATGGGGGGCACCCGCCCCGCAGGGGGCTAATGGGGAGGGGGTTGGGGCGGGGATGGGGGGAATTTTTTTCCCTCCGCTTAGAAACGGGGCGGGGGGCGGGGGAGTGTACCCCCGCCCCGCCACTCGCTTTAAAAAAATAAATATACAAAATATATATGTATATAATTATATATATAATATATAATTTAATTAGTTACAAACTTATGATAATGATATTATTAGTTATATGTATTATATAATGTCTATTAGTATATATAATATAATTGATATTATTAATTACACTAATAAGTAACTATGTGTACTAATACAAATTATTAATCGGTTATACTAAATTTACTAATATATTTATACTAAATCCCTAATTACACTTAATACAATAACATTTTTTTCTTAAAAAAAAGCACAAGCACAATAATGAATTAGTGATTGTATTTGTGCCAAAAGTGAAAACTTGACTACTTTAGTTATATTTATTTCATCATGTTAGATTGTATTCAAATAATTTTTATTTGATTGTTTTTATAAGTTTCAATTGTAAAATTATAATAAATAATAATTTGATGATGTGTTGATATTTTAGTACTTGATTATTTGCTAAAATTTAACTATAATAAAATTATATAACAATTTTTTATTAGCCCCGCGGGGGCATCCGTGGGGGAAGCGGGGCGGGGCAGGGGGAGCGGGGAACGGGGGATGGGGCGGGGCCGAGGGGAGTTTGTAGGCAGCGGGACGAGGGATGGGGAAGGGATCCCCCGCCTCGTTGCCATCCCTAGTGAAAATATTAGCGTAAAATCTTTTTTTCGGCGGTTTGGATATTTGTGTTGGGCATCCACTTAAAATTTTTCTTTTGTATGTGAAAATATACTTGAGAGAGTTTATGTATCAAAATCTATTAATTAATATATTTGATCATATTTGGATTATAGGTTTGAAATGACTCAATATGACCCAATCCAAAATTAACCCAATTTAAAGTTGGACGGGTTGGGTATAACCCATTTAAATAAAAACCCAATATTAACCCGCCCAATTGCCAGGTAAACAAATGAACCTTGCATACGATGCCTGCTGCTCTTAAATTGTCAATTGAATCGACAGATTGTCACACTAAGCATGGAAGACTAAAAAAAAGTTCTTCATAAACATCAACATAAATTATTTTAACTCAGACAGCAAGTATCCTTCAAAGGACCCTTGTGCATGCTGCACGAATTTCGCATCTCTAATGCTGAGGAGCACAGGGAAGAAAAAGTCCCTGCTTCCCATACAGTTTTAGTATTCCACACAAGTAAATCTATATTTCACTCCCTGGAAATGTTTTTATTTCTTTAGGCCTCTGCTTACAAATATGACAATAGGTTTTCATGAATGTAAATTAGTTAAGGAAACGGTGCTTCTTCTGAAGTAAGGTTCCCAAACGAAACTGACATATGCACAAGAGTTCACAATTTAATCTGCTTCAACCAAATTAAAGATTGGGCATGGGTATGACCGCCAAAAAAACAAGTTCCCTATGACTATATCAATTCCATAATAGAACTGTGCAATGGCCCAATGAAGGCAAAAATTCATGTAAAGACCACAAATCAGAGCATGCACCATATAAATAGATAAACATCTGAAACTCAAACCACTGGAATAAAACAGGAGATCGTATTACCCTTTGCCAACTTGGAAACCCGAAATTAAAACATCAAATCACCAAAAAAAGGCAAGTAAGAAAGTAGAATTTAAAAAATAAAAA